GAAATAGTCACCTGTTCATCCTAGAAATGAAAATAATGACTGTCTTCTCCAAGAATAAAATCATGTGTTCCTGCAAGTATTTTAGGAAACCACATTATTACTTGAAAATCAGATGCTAAAAAAAACTGGTAACTATTGATCTCTTAACATTTCTAGATCTGAAATTGGGTTTCTACTGTGAATTAGATTACAATAAATTAAAATTTGCCTATTTTGACTTGCTGCTTAATTTAAGCTTAGAGTAGACCTGCAATGGCAGTAGCACCCTTGGTACTCACTGGTAGGACAACATTCACTGAACTACAGATGCAACTTCAGTTTCACTCATTTGCTCAATAATCTTTCACTGCTCTGGATTCCTCACTGCATTTACACATCTTTCATGACCTTGATATTTTTCAAGAGTAATCATCAGAATTCTGTAGAATGTCCCTCAATTGGGACTTGACAGTTTTACTGGTAAAGTGATTTTTAAAATCTGTCTTTAAAACTACTAACATCAATGAGATAAAAACTATACTTGCAAATTATTCTTAGTAATTGAGGCACATATATCCCAGATTCCATTTTTTGCATCAAACATCGCTAATCCAAGTTTCACTAAAGATAATAAGGTAATATTCAACAATTCAATGTGAATGTTAATTATAAATAAACCTCTACAAATATGAAGGAAAAAAACAAGGCAAAACAAAATGATTTTTGGAAGAACAAATGTAGCCTAATTATGAAAAAGCCAATGTTAACTGACCTAGACATTCTATAGAGCTATTTCAGGAGAAACAAGAAACTGGTAATAATTTCTAGTTGTTAGCTAAAATTTCACTGGCAATAGCTTTGAAGAAGGGACTTTCTAGACAACACCTAACTTGTACTACAGTTGTTACCCCCATGGGCATATACTGGTAACATATGCCATAGTAGTTTCATGGCAATCAGTGCAACGTTCAAAGCATTTATGTAGAATGTGAAAAAACCTTGGGCTAAGAATATTAATTCCTAAGCCAAATACACATTATTTAGTACACAAAATTACAATGATTCCCTTATTAAAAAGTTCATGTGAGAAAGCAGGTCTAAGAAACTTATTTATGATCCACTTCATGAATCTGATTCATAGCTAACAGTAGCTAAAAACTAATTCCATTTACATCAAAATCAGCAACAACTGAATTGCTCAAAAGGCACAACCGTTATTTGGTTTGTAAAAAGTTTTCTGGGCTGAACGTGGTGGCTCACATCTGTAATCCCAGCACTTTGGGAGGCGGAGGAGGGTGAATGGCTTAAGCTCAGGAGTTTGAGACCAGCCTGGGCAATCACATCTCTCCAAAAAAAAAAAAAAATACAAAAATTAGCTGGGCATGGTGGTCCCTGCCTGTAATCCCAGCTACTCAGGTGGTTGGGGCAGGAGAATCGCTCGAACCTGAGTGGCCAAGGGTACTGTGAGCCAAGATCACACCACTGCACTCCAGTCTGGGCAACAGAGTAAGACCTTGTCTCAAAAAAAAAAAAAAAAAAAAAGGAAGTTTCTCAAGTCCCCCTAGTCATCCTTCCCTGCCATTCTTACAGAAGCCATTCCAACCAGGCCTTAATTACTGCATATTTCATCTACCTTAATCACCTTCCAACTCTTCTCGGTTCTGGTCTTTTTGCTTTCAATCTGTGCTCCATGTTGCTGTCAGATTTATATTTTAAAATCCAAAAAGAGATCATGTCTTTCCCTTGCTGCACACTCTGCAATGAATCCCCAATCTCTCTCAACTCCTATCTCAGCATTTAAGCCCACACCAAGTTACAGCCCACAATGATGGCATATTGACTGTACTCCACCAAAACCCCCTGGGGTCCTGTCTGACCGCTGTTTCCAAGAGAGTCAGCCTAGAAACAGAGACGGCTCTCTGTTTCTACGATGGGAGCCCTCTCTGGCTATCAGAGCTCACTGTTTCTGGAATGTGAGCCTCTCTCACTATCAGAAATCACCTGATAGCCAGGTACAGCTCAAGACGGCAGAAATAAAAGTACATGGAAGTCAGCAGCAAAGGCCAGGGCAATAGAAGCCTAAAGGATAGCTTGGAAAGATACCCCAAGACACCTGAACAAATCCTGTGCAGGGGAGGGTTATTTTGAGGGGGTGGGGATGGAGAGCAGTACAGAAGGCATACAAAGGGAAAGAAACTTCTCTAGGTTTTCCATCCTTCCATCTTCTAAAGATCCTTACTTAATCTTGTCTGCCTTTTGTTCACATTGTCCAGAAAGTGCCTCCCCTGATTTTAGTCATCAAATTGTTGTTGTTCATTCATTCAAGTAGGATTTACCAAATGTTACTACGTACCAGGTACAATGCCAAAGGGAGTAGAGTGGAGACAGCAACAGATATTGTCTTTGCTCTCAAGAATCTTAAAATATAGTGGAGAAAGGCAGATAAAATGCAAACAAGTAAAAACCTATATAACTAAAAATTGAGGCCAGGCGAGGTGGATCACAACTATAATCCCAGCACTTTGGAAGGCCAAAGCAGGCAGATCACTTGAGGTCAGGCATTTAAGACTAGCCTGACCAACATGGTGAAACCCCATCTCTACTAAAAATACAAAAATTAGCCAGGCATGGTGGCAGGTGTCTGTAATCCCAGCTAGTTTGGGAGACTAAGGCAGGAGAATTGCTTGAACCTAAGAGGCGGAGGTTGCTGTGAGTCAAGATCATGCCACTGCACTCCAGCCTGGATGACAGAGCGACATTCTGTCCCCAGAAAAAAAGAAAGTAGAACTAAAAATTAAGATACTAAACAGGGTCCCAACATACAAGGGAGTATTTGCCATTTCCACTTAGCATAGAAAAGAGTAGGAGAGGGAACACTCAAGCAGAGGTTTAGAAGGATTAGTCATGAAGGAGACAGGGCCAGTCCTCTACTAAACCTCTTTGGGCATCTGTCTCACTCTGGCACACTGACACAATGGCACCTGTGACCTGTACCTGTGGTTCTCTGTTTTAAGTATGGGGATCCTTTAAAAAATCTGAAATGTATTGGACTCCTAAATGACATGTCACACTTTTCATAATTGTTTATACACATACAGATTTGAGGAGACCTTGTAATAATCCTGAGGCCACTCAGTGCTTTATAACTGAAAACCACTGACCAATACTACTGATGTTACATAACCATTAATAGAACATTGGGTAGAGTACTCTTCTATCCAACAGCAATGTAAATTCACTAAAAGTGCAGCTTACACTTGTTTGAATGTCTCCACTATCCTTCTCCTCACTGCAACACCCAGCAGGTTTATGCACAGCAGCACCCTTTCCACTTCAGGGTCATCTTCCCATGCCTTCTTGGCTCCCACACTGGCAACATTCCAGGTCAAAGTGAATCACCCATTCTCCAAACTCCAAGAGTATGGGCCATGCACACCCAATATCTCTCTCGAAGGAAACAACTCTCATTCTCTCTGATTCCCCTTCCACTGTGCCAAACTTCATTTAAAACTCTTTGTTCTCTGTCAAATCTGACTCTAAACCACTCATGCCAATTATCTGTGGGCTACTTACAGAATGAGACGCTGTCTCAATCTGTAGTCCTAGCCTCAACCACACTAAATGGAATGTGCTCTTTTTCCCAATAATTCACTGTAGTATTTCACTAACAGATTAGGAAATTTGAATGAACTGTGAAAAAGTCGAGTAGTGTCACTAGAAAAAAAAAAGAGCCTGAAATAAACAGTATATGTTTCCTGTCCTATTCTTAATAGAATGTCTAACTGCATTTGTAAAATGCTTTATATTTTAAAGCCAACACTTTTATATCTGTTTTTCCCACTAGATTATCAAGAAGCTATGTGAGGAAGGAATAAATACTGATACTTTCTGGACTCAGAAAAGCAGTGACTAATCCTTACAGTGCTATTCTGAATGGGCTTGACAGAGAGCCGGACCCAGATTATCTGAACACAGAGCCTCTGTTACAGACTGCATCTGATGAATTATACCACACTCCAACCCAATGATAGTCAACATGACATTGACAGTTCTCTCTCTTTTGGTCTTTCTAAGATTTAATCCTCATATTAATCCCATGTGTTAGAAACGGGTTTTATCCCCATTTTATAAATGTGTAAACTGAAAATAAAAAAAGATGAAATAATTTATCCAAAGTTAGCTATGTTTTTCTCATAACATACATCTTATCCTGCTGGGCCTCAGTTGATAGGAGGTAGAACATGATCTCTGTAGTAATAAAAAGTCAGAGCAGTAACAGCTACTGTTGCTATGTGATAGGTACTATGGTAAGTAATGTATTGACTAACCTGTTCAATATTCACATCAACCCTATAAAATACTATTTTCTTCATTAAGAAACAACCCCCAAGACCCTGAGTCTAGAAAATGGCAGAGCTCAATTGAGCCAGACCCTGTCTTAACCCTAAAGTCTGTGTCCCCTGCTCTGCTTGAAAATCTTGATGTATACTCTGGATCAGCTGGGGGAATGACACTTCAGAGTCCTCCACCCCATTTCAAGGTGCTCTCCATGCTGGATAAGGGAAGGATAAGAACTGAGGCTCTTCCAAAGCTACTAATGTGAGGAAGCATCCAAAGGGATTAAACAAAAGACAATATCTTCAAAATGCACTGACATCTGGGTGCATGCACACAATATTAATGATTCCACTATTATTTTATATATTGCTCCTTTTCTTCCGCATGTTAAAATATTTGAGCCTGTAGAGACCTAGATGACAGGAATAACTGTGCACATAACTTTTTCAGTTTTGTGCTTAGCTGAGTATCAAATACAAGAAGTGAAACCATGTATTATGAGAGAAAGCTATACTAAAAACCTATTTGCCATTAATGTGACTAGAATAAATGTCAGCTTAAATCATGTATTTTACATGTAAGGAAGGAAACTGCATCTTACTTTCCCAAAAGCAATTTACTATTGGGGAAAAGGTACTGGCATAATTTTGTTATTTTATTATGATAAAGGAGACTCTAATTACCTTGACAGAATCCAGTAAACTCTTAGGAAAAAATCGCTTTAAACCAACATCTTTTCTGAAATATAAAAAAAAGCATATTAACAAATAACACCACTGAATCAATTAATATAATGACAAACTTGCAAGAACATAAAAGCATTGTAAATTATTTATCCTTCCATATATTATTTAGGAAGGAAACAAATATAATAAAGCTCTGATTTACCAGTATATTCACAGAAAGGATGGGACAAATCATTTTCTAGATATGTACAAAAACATGAATACAAGTTGGTTTAAATAGAAATCCTTTTGGTTTTTTTCTTTTTTCAACCCTTATTGTTGAAAACCCTTTAAAAATATTCCCTTTGTGAATTATAAAATTTAATATTATAATTTTATGATTTAATATTAATATGTGTAAAATATTAAAAAACTGTCTTTTTCAGATATTGCCTGAAGGTTTTCCTTATAAACATCAGTTTCAACTGGGTAATACTGTACTTGTAGAGAAAATAAGCTAGACTGATTAATAAATGATTCAGGATATACCTTAGAAGTTACAGAAATAAATCCTTTAGGTTTATCCCAAAAGTTGACTATTTTTAAAAATAGGCTTTTTTGATTAAGAGACTCATTCACTTATCTCAGTTTCACATTAGAAAAAGCCCAGAAATTTATGTGATTTGCCCTAGGTCAAAAAGGTGAATGTATGGAAATGCTGGAAATCGCAGCAATGTTCTTTAAGTCAGGCAAAAAAATTAAGTTATTAGTATCAAGAACCTCAACGTTCAGGCCAAGAAAATAGATTGGAAAGAATGGCTGATTCTTTTCCTCGTACTTTAGTTAGCAACTTACTCAGGTGTTTTGGCCAGTAGGTGTCACTAGTGTGCTAGTAATATGAAATAATGTCTGCCAACATTAAGAAACATCAGGAGACACATAATAAAAGGATCAAGGAGAAAAGGAAAATACAGGTATCTTTTCAGAATCACATAAGGAAACAATAAATTAAAGTATCCAGAAACAGGGATGACATCTTCATCTGTAACTGTAAATTGGCTGGCGTTATAAACAAAACCATAGACATCATGTCAGTTCATTTCGTTAATACTATATCCAAACATTTTAAATCTCTTATTCTATAATCTAACTACTAGTAGTACCTAAACCAATAAACTCCTCCTCTGCTACATTCAAAACTGGTCTCAGTTCTAATTCTTTCTTATTCTATTATTACGTTCATTACATCCTCTAATTCTCTCTCAGCTTCTGTGATATATTACTTCCTTGTTTTACCCATCAGTTAATTCATATACTAGTCTTCCACTTCTGTCTTTAGTCGCTTCTGTTTGTAACTTCCCTTCACAGAAGCATCATTATCTATTTTGACAGCTGGATATAAAGGGGAAAGAGAACACAAGTTCTTCCTCTTCATTTTGCCTCTTAAAAACACAGGTTCTTTGCATTTTAAGGATTGTGATGCCAATCACTACTGGGAAGTAGCAAAAGTAGTACACAAAAGACAGACACTCTGGAAATCTACAAGGCAATATTCTTGAGCATTTCTGCCTCTGTCTACATTTTCAGGTCACTATTCCATAATTGCAAGCACTTATTTTCATATCAGAGAGTTTTGGTTTTTGTTTTGAGACGGAGTCTTGCTCTGTCACCCAGGCTAGAGTGCAGCTCACTGCAACCTCTGCCTCCCAGGCCTCAAGGGATTCTCAGGCTCAGCCTCCCAAGTAGCTGGGATTATAGGCCCGTGCTACCATGCCTGGCTATTTTGTGTATTTTTTTAGTAGAGATAGGATCTCACCATGTTGCCCAGGTGGGCCTTGAACTCCTGACCTTAAGGGATCTGCCTGCCTTAGCATCCCAAAGTGTTGGGATTACAGGTGTAAGCCACTGGGCCTGGCCTCAGAATTTTAAATTTGAAACTTGGCTCTGCCGTTGGGTGGATTTGCTATTAACATCTATGAAGCTCTACTTGTAAAATGGGGGATGTGAAGTCCTACTACCACACAGTGGTGCCGATGTTAAGTAAGACAGTTTATGAAGTTCCTGGAATGTGAGGGGGGCAGTTTCTGTTCTGCCACAATGCCTCAGAAATCACGCTGTCTGGACAGCTTCTGGTTCACATGCCCTGTGTCTCACTGCTTAATACAGAGGGAGGCATGGCCTGAGCTGAGGTTTGCTGGTGGACAGTAGAGGCAGTGAGGAGCAATGAGATTCAGGGGCTACTGTGGAAAAAGAGGCAATGGGAATGAGTGACTGGACATGAGGTGTGAGGAAATGCTGAAGCCACACACCGAGAAGAGGAACGTGGGTGGGCACTAACAGTTCTGTTGTATACATACGAGGCTGGGCAAGGTGTACATGCATGCCCTTCTAGTAGGGATTTTAAGAAGGCAACTGGGCATGTCAATATTTGGTTGAGGGAAAGACCAGGGTAGAAAATGTCCTCTCCCCCACTGTGTGGCTGTCAACTGCTATTAGTCAACCCAGTTACACAACTATTTTTCTCAGAGCCAGGCAGAACTAAAGAACTTACCATAGTCATTGCTGTCACAAATAAGAAAATTAAAGATAAACCAAAAGTTGTTGTATGTTTGAAGAAAAATAAAGCATTTTTTTTAAATAAAGACGAATACTAGGTATTGCTTTTACTTCAAAGGCAAAGACAACTCCATTAAAAAAAAAAAAAACCTTAAGACCAATACTTAGCATATATACAGTTGAGGTTTTCTTAAACTTCTTTTAAGTAATAAGAATTTGTAACATTTGTCTGTATGTGAGAAATTTTTTGATACCTGGCAGTTGAGAAAATAGAAATGAGGGCTCAAGTACACAAGATCATGGTAAAATTCTGCAACCCTGCTTTTAACACATTTTAATTTAATCAAGCAGTCAACCTAACTTCAGTTTTGTGATAGAGGACTCTGAGACGCACCTAAGGTACTACATCCAAAGTTTTTAGGGAAAGCTTATTACAGATACCTAAATTTAAAGCCTTAGAAAACCATGCAGGGACTTGTAGCCTGTCCCATTTTTAATATGAGGTCACCTCTCTCCACGAGCTGTGTGTCTGGGACTAGTTTACAACGTGCACTCTAAACTGCAGCAGTTTTGCCTCAAGTGGCATAAAAACCTTCTTTGAGCCCGAACTCTACCCAACTGTCCTGTATGTGAATAAAACAACAAATACAAGTTATACATCATAAACAAAATATAATACTAGCCTTTATCATACAATAATTCCTTATATTAACTTTAAAAAGGTATTTTCTATATGGAGTTAAACTTATGTATTAAAAAACTGGCTCAGATTCCCACATCAGTTCAGAGGAACCTCTTGAGCCTATATACAGATGGCAAGACACTATTAGGTTAGAACTATGTTGTCCAATATGCAGCCACTATTAATATGTAGCTATTTATACTTAAATTAGTTGAATTAAATTAAAAATTCTGTTCCCAGCTGCAATGCTCATCACATTTCCAGTGATAAGCAGTCCCATGTGGCTAGTGGTTACCAAACTAGATGGGCCAGTCGCAGAACAGTTTCATTGTCGTAGAAAGCTGCAATGGGTGGAGCTGGGACAGAGCAATGAATCTAGGACTTCAGGCACCCTGACTCTCTAGGGCTTCGTGCTGTGGGCCCAGAGGCTCCTCAGTAAGGGCAGGGATGGGTGAAATGCATGAACACTGGGGACAGGTGCACAGCTACCATAGAAACAACCACACAAGGTTCCTGCCTTGCTCAGAAAGACTGGGTAAAAGAAGGTATAGAGGGGTGAGTAGACAGTTCTATCATGACAATGCAGAAGGCAGCAGATCTTACAGGAGAGAGCTGTATGTTAAACAAGGAGCCTTTAGTTGGGATTGCCTGTATATATATGCCAGAGAGCTTCTAAGTATTACTCTCCCTACATCTCTCTCAGGACTAGCAAAAAGAGTTTCTGTGATCTATTCGCTAAGATTCAAATTATTTAGATTAAAAGCTACAAAGAAAGAGAGGCTGTATTCCCTTACTTCCTCACTGAGACCTGAATGACATACTAGACACAGAACAGATCCTGGGGTAGAAAAATTACTAATATGTTCCCTTTTCTTAAGTGAGATAATTATATAAACAACTACCTACAACATAGTGTGTGAAAGGTATTACAAGGTTAAGAGTTTAAAACCAATACATTTAGCCATTGAGATGTAAGGTTTTTGTGGCCAATTTTAAACCAGAACTCTCTTAATGTTTAATTGACCTCCATCCTTTAAATGAATGATTTAGAATACTGCTGACTGATGGGGTCTTCTTTCTCTTTCTCAAAATCCCATTCATCACTCCACTGATCCCTGTTGCCATTTACATTTTTGGAAAATCCTTAGAGAGCTCTGCTCTCCCACATTCCATGCATGATGACTGTGTACCTCCTCGTATTCCTCCTTTACAGTGGCCATCCAGAATGGTCCAGGAAAGGAGGCTGTGAAGGAGGGAACTTCCCCACTTGCACCTTCTGACTGCCATCAGCAATTCCCCCTCACTGAGATGAATCCTCTACGATGCCCATCTACTTTCCCAGCCTGTGGTCTTGTCCTGCATGTGTGTATTCATATCCACAAATTCATAACACAGCTGGCTTTTAGAAGTCTCAGATGGGGCTGGGCATGGTGGTTCACGCCTGAAATCCCAGCACTTTGGGAAGCTGAGGTGGGCAGATCACAAGGTCAGGAGTTGAGGACCAGCCTGGCCAATATGGTGAAACCCCATCTCTACTAAAAATACAAAAATTAGCTAGGCATGGTGACGGGCACCTGTAGTCCCAGCTACTAGGAAGGCTGAGGCAGAAGAATCCCTTGAACCCGGGAGGCGGAGGTTGCAGTGAGTTGAGATTGCACCACCGCACTCTAGCATGGGTGAGAGAGTGAGACTGTTAAAAAAAACAAAAGCCTCAGATAGGAATCAACATTCTTTACAAAATAAAAAGAAACTAACCTTATTATAAGCGAATTATTATGTCAAGGATAAATTTATTTCTCTTCTGGCAATATTTCTGAGAAGATTCTGACCTTGTC